TCATCCCCACTGTAAAACATGGCGGAGGGAGCATCATGGTTTGGGGCTGCTTTGCTGCCTTAGGGCCTGGACGGATTGTTGTCATTGATGGGAAAATGAATTCCAGAGTTTATCAAGACATTTTGCAGGAAAACGTACGACCATCTGTCCGCCAACTGAAGCTCCGCAGAGGATGGGTGATGCAACAGGACAATGACCCAAAGCATACAAGTAATTCAACAAAACAATGGCTGCAACAGCACAGAATACGCCTTCTGGAGTGGCCCAGTCAGAGTCCTGACCTCAACCCGATTGAAATGCTGTGGCATGACCTTGAGAGAGCGATTCACACCAGACATCCCAAGAATATTGCTACACTGAAACAGTTTTGTGAAGAGGAGTGGTCCAAAATTACTCCAGATCGTTGTGCAGGTCTGATCTGCAACTACAGGAAATGTTTGGTTGAGGTTATTGCTGCCAAAGAAGGGTCAACCAGTTATTAAGTCCAAAGGTTCACATACTTTTTCCTCCCTGCACTGTGAATGTTTACATGTTATGTGCAAATAAACCATGGCAACTTCTAATGTTTGTGTAGTATTATGTTCAGCAGACTGTGTTCTTCTATTGTTGTGACTTAGATGTGGTTCAGAGCACATTTTATGCCCAATTCATGCAAAACTCCACGTAATCCCAAGGGGTTCACATACTTTTTCTTGCAACTGTATGTATATATATATATATATATATATATATATGTGTGTGTGTATATTACACACTCTTGTCTGTTGGCACTGCTGTACTTCTTTGTGGGGTACCATTCCAAATAAGTGGCATTGCACAAAGTGCCAGACGTTGCAGTGACCTGTTATGATGCGCTCTACTGCAATGCACTGGTCTGAAGGGGGCCTAAAGGTATTGTCAGCCTTTTTGAATCTAGTAGTTGTAGATGGCTACCTATATTTTATTTTTGTTGTTTTTTTTTTTTTTTTTACCTGTGCCCAGACTATGCACTTTAAGTATTTTCATATTCTGCACAAGCAGTAACAGTGGCCATAGGCATTGTAGAGAAATCCTTGTTTACACTTTACTACACAGGCACTGAAACTGCAGTTCCACTCCACTTCTTTTCTTTGGTAGTAGAAACTTGGCAGCCTGTCAGCCATCTAATATAAACAGCTGGTGCTTGTAAGCTGTTAGAAACTGACTTAACCCCTTAACTCTGTCTCCTGGTAGCCCCTTAAATTATTTATAATGCTTAGAAGGGGTTGGGGCTTCTTTATCTTGTGATTGGATTGCTGAGTTTGGCTTTTAAAATGGCCATATGATCAGGCACCTACCCTGCTGGCTGTCAATCAGAAGCCTTGTTCAAGAGCTGTTAGTTACAGGTTGGTCATTGTGCTGGTTCCATGCTGTTAGCACACAATCTCTGGCCAATGTGGAGGTATATGTACGATAGCTTGGTGGTGAAGCACAGCTTTCTTGTTGCCGCAGTGCTACATGTGTTGCACGGTCAGCAAAAGGATAAGTGCACTTATTTTTGCATAAAAGGTGCATTTATTTTTTTCTCCCTGGATCTTGCAAAGCATTGCACTCAATATCAGTGGATGGGGGTACAGGGGAACGTGCTGGAGCATGTTACACCCTAAATACGGGTGTAATTTGCTCCAAATGTCAACTTTGCCTTTTAAAGCTTTTCTTCTGGCTGAGGTCTGAATAGGATGTGCCCCCTTACATTACGTGTGTCACCATCACAGTGCAACATTACATCATGTAATGCCAACACATCAGGAGTGCACATCAGAGTGCTCCTTTACATCAGTTGTCCCCATCACAGTGCCACTTACATCAGGTATTCCTGTCAGAGTGGCCCCTTACACTCAAAGTGCCTATTTCTATCATATTTCCCCTACCAGAGTACTCATTTCCATCATATTTCCATTCCCCATCAGAGTGCACCTCGCCATCATATTTCCCCCATCAGAGTCCATTTCAGAGTGCCCCTTTCCGCAGTATGTGCCCCCTTAACATAAAATGGGACCGTCCGAGTGCCCCTTAACATAAAATAAGGAGCATGCTGATGGGCACATACTATGTTGTGCCCATCAGAGTGCACCTTAACATTAAATGTGCCCATCAGCATGACCCTTTAACATTAAATGTGCCCATCAGTGTGCCCCTGTAAGACTACACCCTGCCTTGAGGGCAGACAGGAGCTGTGCCGGGATCCTTGCTGAAAGATGCTTGTGTACAGGCAGGGAGCGGGAGTCGGAGAGACAGTGAGTTACAAGTGGCGGGGTGCACACGTGATGTCATGTTGCAGTGAGGACTGCCCTGCAAAGTGGCAGATCTGTTATTGCGCACTGGCAGTCCAGAAGGGAGTGCTGCTGGGCCATTCTCGGACCATGGTCCGCCATTTAGTGACCGGTGGTCTAGATTTTACATACTATATTCAATAGGATATCCATTATACTCAATGGTGCCTGTTAACACCTGAAAAAATAAGTTTTTTTTCTTTTTTTTCCCTTTTCACACTTTCTTGCTTAGAGGCTAACTTTCCATTGGGTAGAAGCTTAGCACTGTAATCACTAGAGATGACATTAATTGAAAGTAAAGTTTTGAGGGCCTGTTTACTCCGATTTGCGGTGTGTGAAACGTGTATTTCACACTGCGCAGGTACATACTGCCCTTGTTAGAGGCCATGGGTGCCATTAATTGTTGATGCACCCCAAACGCATATAGGTAATGCGTACATGTTGCAGCCACCAAAAATTCATTGTACCACAGTACCATGCAGATTGGTGTGGCGCAATATTCATTAACGACTAGTGTACTTTTTGTGTGTTTGGCAATCGATTGAAATGAAAGCGCAAAAATGCTTCCAACCCTGACTCATAATAATTTAAAGCAGAATTCTAGCCCATTAATAGATATAATAATAAAACCAGCTTTTGGTGTAATGTTCACTTTCATTCCAGTGACTTCCCCCTACAATCTTAATTTTTATTACAATTCTTGGTAACTGATTTAATGCCTTCACTTAAAGGAGATGTGTAGTGTTACGTACATACTCTCCTTAAAGCGGCGTTTCAGCTGGAAAAAAAACAAAAACTGTAGCTGCTGTCCTCACCACCACTGGTTTCACTGGCCGTCTTCTCTCCCTGGTGCCGGCATCTTCAGTGTGGGCACCTGACTACGGGGGGGGGCAACTTCCACTTCTGAACTCCTAGGCAGTCGCAGCGGAAGTGGGAGCGGGTACCTGCCAAGTTCGGGTATCCGCTCCCCAAAGGTGCCAATCCTTAATGGGGAGCGGGGGACTAAGCATTAAAGCGGAACTTTCCCTTTTGGGTGGAACTCCGCTTTTAGTCTAGGACAAAAAAAAGTAATTTTGCTTTTCTTTTTATTCACTTAAATGTTGAATATGAATATTTCATATATACTATTCCCAGCCATCAGGTGGCTCATTAAAGCTCATCTGCAGCTTTTCCGTAAACTGATTTAATGCTTTGCACTGAATTAGCGTCTGTGGTGAAAAGGCTTGACCAGCAGGATATCAAAGCTCAGGCCAGACTTCCTCCCCCTTCTATAGATATGGAAAATAAAGATATTACACAAATAATGAAAAAGAAAAAGATTAGTATATAAACTTTATTAAATAACGTTGACCAAAGGTACCTAAAGTGGAACAAGGAACGTACAGTCCATTTTAATACGATGCTACCAAAATTGATGTGTGCTGTAAATTGTCTCCAACATTGTTCTGTTTCTGTTTGCTGGAGGCCGCCACTTTGTTGAAGCCCAGAGCCCCCTGATCATAAGTAAATCTTTTGGATGTCAGCAGATCCGCCTCTAAATTTTTGGCCCAGTGCTGAAATATAGAGAGCAACTGAGTGTGCAAAGCAGAGTAAGTTAGTGTTATACTGGATTTTAAACCATATAGGCACTTACTTTAAATATTTACATAGCTATACCTGCAAAAGGGGCCAGCATGAAGTGATCTAGTGGCACTTAATTTTCTGAATCAAGTTCCACCATAGAGGAGCGTGGTCACCCTAGGGCAGAAAGTGTTGCTAGCAGGATCATCAAATGAAAATAAAGAAAAAAGCCTAAATAAAAAAAAAACTAATGCAGTTACTACATATAAGGTCCCATTCACATTTGCGAATAAGAATGTTGGTGAATACATGCAGGAGACCCAGCAGGGGTTCACGGCATTAGCTGCAGGTGGAAGCCTCATTGAAATCAATTGGAGGCTGACAGCTCCCGCAGCTATTTTCGGCCACCTGCATGTAATAACTCAAGTAGCAACTACCTGCGAATGATTGGCGCTGGACGCAGACTGTTCACTCCATGAGCGATTACATGTGAGCAGCTGTGATTACGTGCAGGAGTGGTTTGCCTCTCATTGCCTTCAGAGGGGCTTATACTCACGACTAAACACTAGGGACCTCCTCTGGGTCTCCTGCATGTAATTGCCAGTGGCCCCATTTGCAAGAAAATAAACTCAGACTGACTGAGAGTCATAGTGGAATAGAGAAACCTGTGCGTGTACCAAAGTTATTCTATTCCTGAATGGGCACACATTTTGTATTTATATAAGCAGGGCCAGGAAAACCAAAGATTTTGGAGATGTCTGTTCAGAGCCATTTACGTAAATGAAATAACCAATTGTTCACATGTAACATGTTTCAGCATGTTGGTACTGTGTTGCAGAAACCATTCGGCTTGTTGGCTGTATAACACAGAGATGGCATTGAGAAATGAAAATACCTCTGTATGCTTTTTTGTTATTTTTCTGAATTTCTTCACTAAAACATAGTAAACGCAGCATTAAATACTGTGTTGATTCTCTTGACAAGCACATAAAGCTGTCAGAAAAGTCAGTTATTGGGCAAACCTTTTTCCCCCTCCTTTGATGGCTGATCCTTCTAAAACAAAGATGTCTTCTGCACAGCATCTAAATTTTTTTTATGGTGTTTTGTTGTCTGTGTATGACGTATGCATAACTCTCTTAACAAACCGTAGGTACATCGCTGGCGCCCGACTATGTTCTCATGATGAAGCGCAGACTGGATGATCCAGAGGCAGCTGCCTACCCACCCCAGCCTCGCCGAATCACTGAACCATTTGCCCACCAACACCGTGTACTTGCTCCTGCTCCTCCGGCTTATGAACCGCAGTCTGACAGCATGCAGCCCACAACGGGCATCCAATACTCCGTGACACCAGGATATCAGGTTAGCCAGATTTCCTTTTTGGCTTTTGTTTTTATTAACTCATTTTATTCCCCATTGCTGGCAAGTTATGTTAAAGTGTCACTAAAGGCAATTGTTTTGGATAGAGTGGAGATAGATTGGATCTCTTGTCGGGTCTTATTGCTGTCTGTGCCCCCATTAGAGAGATTCCCTCTCTGTTTGTCCTGTTTACCATTATCATCCAAAGTAAAAGAAAATCACCAATTTTGGGTTGACATAAGAACAGCAGTAGGGGCACTAGTTCTGGTGACCTTGGTGACACCCCAGGATTCCCTCACTTTGGCTACAGGACAATGGGACACAAGTGGCAAAATAAAAACTGGCAGGGGTCATAACCCTACTATACTCTATCCAGAATAAAAAAAATAGGTTTTGCCTTTAGTGACACTTCAACATAATAGTTTTCTAATCTACTTGCGGGACTTTTACACTCTATATGTGCGTATGTTTGCATTTATGAGCTGCGTTCATTGGATTGGAAAGCAGAAACTAAACTAAACTGAACTAAACTAAATTAAAAAAAATTGCAGGCAGATAGGCTCTTGCCAATGCTATGCTTGACGTTTATGTCTCTTTTCAATAAAACCGCATACCAGCCTTTTCAAAATCTTTTAGACTGTTTGTGGAGTTGTGTATGCGCAGCTCAGTGTACATTCTAGGTACACCTCTGTGCCAGAATGCATGAACTTCTGCATTATGCGCAGGAGTTGCGTTTGTTCCAGGCCAGCCAATCTGGATGGTAAGAAAAAAGATGGGGTCAAGATGTCCAGGTATCCGAGGGAAGCCAAGTTTAGTTCCACTTTATTACTTGTATTTGTATTACTAGGTTACATACACATCTATAGTTTAGACACCGAAGCGCCATTTTGCTTTCTGTGTTAACATACATCCATTCTGTCCTCTCAGGTGTCAGCAGTGCCTCAAAGCTCCGGTAGCCATGGGCAAGCAGCTCTTGCAGCTGTACATGGAGCCCACCACCACAACACACCTGTCCCGGGCCATGGAGGTCCTGGGGTGCAGAGTCATGCACATTCAACACCTCCAGCTGCACCTGCTCAGGGGCAACAATTTCAGAGACTGAAGGTAAGTGAAATGTTAGTGTTTGTTCTTTTGATTGGCTTTACTTTATTTGTTATAGTGAGAGCAAAATATTTTTAGCTTCCTGTAAGTTACTTGGTTCACAATAGATATGCCAGGATCAGGCATTAATAATGCACTGTATACTGTTTGCATTGTTTTGCCTGGTATTTTAAATTTTGTCTTGGGTTTATTTCATCAGGTTTTTGATGCCCATCAAACTAGATGAATATTGCACAGATTACTTACGATTCTGTTTTTAGTGTTTGTTTATGGGCAGTTTTATTTGATACAGTCTTTGTTTTTGCTCTCAGGTGGAGGATGCACTTTCTTATCTTGATCAGGTGAAATTGCAGTTTGGCAGCCAGCCCCAGGTGTACAATGATTTCCTTGACATTATGAAGGAGTTCAAATCCCAAAGGTGAGTGCTTTGTACTTCTGTGAACAATCTGGATTTGTCTTTGGGGTCGTTTATGCTCCATAAACACTAATGCAGGCCATATACAGTCAAAATCCGATAAAATTTTCTTTCGTAAATAAGAATTTTCGCTCCAATTTCGCACCATTAGTGTGCTGCAGCATTGGCCGATTTTTGTGCGACCATTGAATTTGAGTGATTGGGCATCTTGGAAATTTTTTTACAATGAACAAATTTCTAATCGATGATGGGAGAATCATGCGAGAAATATAATTGAAAAAGAAATGAGCATGAGCTGTGACCTGGAAAGAAAAGATTCTTGGCCACGAAAATTGTTTTCTGTAGCAACATGAGGTGAAATTGAAGGATTGGTTGTTCGAATTTCTAAAGCAATGTTGGCACCCATGGATTGCAAAACGCTTGAAATTTCCAATTTTCTAAAGAAAATTAGTTCAGAATTCCACCAATGTATCACATGCATAAGGCTGCTTTTAACATTAATCCGTTTTTGTTCTGTTTTTGCATTAATAAAAAGCGCATGGCCATTAAATCCTATGGAACTCTTCACACTGGTCAGTTGCGGGTCCTTTAAGTTTTTTTTAGTCCTGCAATCTGCATATTTTTTTTTTTTTTTTTTTCCCCACAGATACAGGAAGCTCTGGAAACGCAGCAAAAACTCATATGCATTTTTACCGTATTTTTGCAATGGATCAGTGTGAAATTAGTCTTACAATTTTATATTTTAAAGCTGACCAGCCAACTTAAAGTCTGAATGCATCAATCTGTTTTAGAGTGACCAATTAATTATTGGTAGAATTATCTAATCTAAGGGCTACCGAAACAATCCACCCAATAATATACAATTGGACAGGCCCTTATACTACATAGTTGTTGGTAGATCTAAGGAAAATTGTATCAGATTGTAAGGTGTATGGCCAGCTTATTATGCACTTAATTATGTTTGTTAATATGGTGGTTAGTTTTGTTTTATAATAACTGTAAAAAATGTAAAAACTGAGCTTGATTAGGAGGTACAAACAGAAAAAACAAAGCTCATAATACTAATTTTATTGTATTTCTAATTGTAGCATTGACACTCCAGGAGTCATCAGTCGGGTTTCTCAGCTCTTCAAAGGTCATCCTGACCTGATCATGGGTTTTAACACCTTTCTACCGCCAGGATATAAAATTGAAGTGCAAACAAATGACCTGGTAAACGTCACCACACCTGGACAGGTCCATCAGATCACGACTCATGGGTTGCAGCCTCCTGTCCCACCAGTTCCCCCACCTTCACAACCGTCCACCCAGGCAGCTCCCCCTCCAGTTCACCCAACTCCACCACCAGCTCCAGCCAAGATCAACAAGGTAAGAGGAAAAAATCTTTGCAATGACCATCTGTAAAATAGAACATAATTAATAGAAAAAGTATATGTCTATTTTTTAAAACCAAATGGCGAGACCAGTTTTCCTTGTTTAATTTCTAGAATGAGATGTCGTTCTTTGTATGTTTAAGCATTGGACCTGTACATATAGGTTTAGTTAATAACAGCCAATAAGCATTTTTTTTGTTTTGTTAATCTGTAACACACTTTCCAATGGATATAATACTGAGGTGCAAACAAATGACCTAGTAAATGTCACAACACTTGGACAGGTCCATCAAATCCCAACCCATGAGCTGCAATCCCCTGTCTCTAAGGTTCCTCCACCTTCACAACTGAACACTCAGACAGCCCCTTCACCAGCCCCAGCAAAGATCAATAAGGTAAGAAAAAGGTGCAAGATAGGTGGGTGAAAAATAAAAGGTGCCACTTGATTTTAAAAGGCACGTTGGTCTATTTAATAATTCTGTTGACCATTTCTAATTCATATGGGTATTTTTGGGAAATTACTATTGATTTAATTTAAGTACTGGCTTAGGTTCTGACACATTTAGGTCTTGGTGCACACTGGAGGAATTGGCAACTATTGGGTGCATGTAAATATTTCCTAGCACGGTGGTGGGTTTTTCATCTACATTCTTTAATCTGGAGATTGAACATTTTGTAATTTTTCTTAATCTGTTTTATTCCATAATATTTTATGATCATGTATAGTTACTGCAAAATGTCTAATTTAAACTACTACATAATGTTCAATCTCCTGCTATAAATGTTACATGCAAACCATTTGCTCTTTTTAATATTTGCTCTTGTGGCTTGCTCCATAACTAACCATGTTTTTATTTTCAGCCCGTGCCTTCTCAGGCACATACACCAACCAGCCAACAGAGCACACCAATCCAGTACCCATCTCCCCGTTCTCCACCAGCACAGCCACATACACCAGGACCACTGGCACATGCCACTCCCACAGCAACTGCAGCCACACCTACAATGCAAAACAACCAGCCTGTTGAATTCAATCATGCCATTAATTATGTGAACAAAATAAAAAATCGTTTTCAAGGCCAGCCTGACATTTACAAGGCTTTCTTGGAGATCCTGCATACCTACCAGGTGAGTGCTTCGTGGTCTATATACTTATTCTATGACTAATGGACATGAGACAAAAAGGACACAGGTCCATCCAGTTTAATCTTTGTGAATGTTTTTGAGTCTTTAAAGAATTCCTCTAGCCTTCATCTAATGCTCACTGAGGGTACGTTCACACCATATGTGGTGAGACTGTTGTATGACTATTCCAGTGTAGTCCCACCACATGACAAGGCAAAAAGCCTCATCTCCCTGTGTTGCAGTGGTGTGCAGGCAAGCTGTGGTGAAAATGCACGCAGTACTTTTTTTTTTTTTTTTTTGCGCAGCGTACTGCGCGGCTATCGATTTGAACCTTGAGATCACTGTGCTGATCTCGGCAGCTCCGCACCAGCTACAGCGTTGGAATGCAGCAGCTGCTGTGAATGAACCATGTAACCATAAAGGCTATGGTAAAAGAAAGCTGATTTTATGTTATGGTTTTTTTTGTTTGTTTGTTTGTTTGTTTTTTTTGATCTTGAAATTTGTACAGGAAACTTTTTTTTTTTTTTTTTTTTCAGGAGTGGGTACCTTTTTTGTGACCGGTACCCGCTCCCACTTCCACAATACTTACCTAGGTCAGAGATGTGTCAACTTGGCCTTTACCCCCCTTTCCCCTTCTCCTGGATTTGCTGGCAGGTATTACACTGTTAAGCCAGTAATCTGATAGAGGAAGTACATTAGGTTAGGGTTTCAGTTGGGATAGGAATAGCATCTCCTAAATAAGGAGAAGAATAAATATGGAGAAATTATAATCTGTATAGGACTAGGGCAGTTCGAGATTTATTGTAGAGAGTTTGTGCAGAAGTACCCATAAACCCAGTGCATTTGGGTGTATAATCGGTGGTCATCACTTTTATTTTGTCCTAGGTCTCAAGAGTGAAGGGAATTTGAGAGGCATAAGTTTAGGGGGCTTGAACTATAAAGTCATATATTTTAGTTTTGGAAAGAGTGTAGAGGGATTAGAACATCTTTTCAGTTTTTATTGCTGTTTGTGCCTCTGTTAGGGAGAGTCATCCCCTTTTTATTTATCCTGTTTACCATTATCATTGAAAGTAAAAGAAAATCCCAAATTTTGTGTTGTCTCCAGAAAACTAATAGAGGGGAAATCTTCCAATGGGGACACTACTTCTGGTGACCTGGGGGTCCCTAAGGAATTCCCTTAATGTGCATGGATTCCTTCTCACTTCTTGTTTGGCTATGGAACAGGAAGTTAAGGTATCTCCGCAATAGGACACAGATGGAGAAAAAAAAAAAATCTCACAGGGGTTATAACCCTCCCTTACTCTCTCCAAAATGAAAAAAAATGCCTATAGTTCTACTTTAACCTGTTTTGTATAGAAATAGAATCTGTGTTTTTGGGAAATTTTAGATCACATATACTAACCCTCCTCCTTTTCTTTTTGCATTTTATTTTCTGCATTGGTAAGCTAGGTATTATCTGCTTAATATTGGTAGGATGTTAAATATTGGCTTTTCTCATGGTTTTCTGCATTATGTTCCAGAAGGAGCAGCGTAATGCGAAGGAAGCAGGAGGAAATTATACCCCAGCCCTCACTGAACAGGAGGTGTATGCCCAGGTTGCTCGGCTTTTCAAGAACCAGGAAGACTTACTGTCAGAATTTGGACAGTTCCTGCCAGATGCCAACAGTTCTGTGGTAGGATGTCTGCTTTGTAATGAAGTCATAAAAAAAAAGGCAATATCAATGAGCGAAGCAAAAATTGATTGCCTGTGAAGTCTCCCAATAAAACTTAAACTGAGAAATAATCAAAACGAAGGCAAAGGGGAACGTGTGTGTATTTGGGTGGGGTGTAATCACATGCATTTTAGTCTAGGGTCACACCTATGCGTTTTCCACTACGTTTTGCAGAAACGCAGCAGTCCATGCAACATGATTTCCTATGGGACAGGTGCACATCTCCGTGTTCTCACCCGGTGCATTTTTTGGAAAGGGTCAGGGACTTTTTTTAAACTCAAAACGTTGCGGTTTTGGTTCTATAGACTTCAATGGAGACTGCAGAAAAGCATGTAGTGTGTTTTGATGCATTTTATTCTGCCCAGCAACAAGTGGAAAACAAAACCTCAAGCGCATCAAAAACGCACATGCAAAAAACCGCCAAAAGCACTGCAGAAACAAACTGCATAGGTGTGAACCTAGCCTTAAAGATTGTTTACGTAATTGATGTCAACCTGTTTATATTCTCTTCCACTGGTTCCCTGCAAAGCAGATATCGCAATAAAAGGTTTACTCTGTGATCCTGTCTGGCTTAGATACATTGCTTCCAGTCCAACATTTTTAGGCATGTTTATAGGAGTGAGGAAAGCATGGGGGGGAGGGGGGTTCAGTGGCAGGGGTCCAGTGGTCCATGGCAAGCTGTAGTAGGAAAAAACGGTGCCATTCTGCTGGCAACATTATGGCTGAATATTGAACCGCAAGACTAGCTGAACGCAATTTTTGCAGCTAAAACCGCTCACATGTGTTTTGACTGGTGTCTTACTTCTAGAGCATTGTTAAAAATCTAAAATAAAGTTGTGCTTATTTTACTGATTCTGCAGCAGCGAAAGATAATCTTGTACATGTAGTATTAGCACTTTTGTGATGGCTTATTTTTCTCTAGATGTTACTAACTTAATGTTTGATTTAAATAGTGCCAACAGTAGTGCAGCACTTCAAAAATTAAAGGTAGATGGTACAGTTACAATACAATGTAAAAAAGATGGTTCAAAGGAACCTGCTTGTGAGAGCTTGGATCTTTCTGTGCTTATATAAATTAGTGGCAGAGTACTTCTACAAGCTGCCAAAAGATACAAATCTGCTGTTTAGGGGCATATAGTTTTCAGCCGTTGGCACTTACAGTTGTGACCAAAATTATTCAACCCCCACCTGAAATTGAGTGTTTTGGCCAGTTTGACATTGCTTTTGATCATTCAGTCATCTTGCTTACATTTACATTAAAGAGGGCACTTGTAGGTCAGACAAATATAACATAACAGTTATAATGAAATAACCACAAATGTCTTTTCTGTGCTCACAGCATTATCTGTTTTTTATTCAACCCCCAAGTGACATCAATCCCCCCCCCCCCCTTAGTACTTAGTACAGCATCCTTTTACAGTTATAACAGCTTTTAAACGTGAAGCATAGCTTGACACAAGTGTCTTGCAGCGATCTACGGGTATCTTCGCCCATTCTTCATGGGCAAAGGCCTCCAGTTTCAGTCACATTCTTAGGTTGCGCACTGCAACTGCTTTCTTTAAGTCCCACCAGAGGTTCTCAATCGGATTTAAGTCTGGTGACTTGCGATGGCCACTCCAAAATGTTCCAGCCTTTCCTCTGGGGGGCAAACCATGCTCTAGTGACTTGGAGGTATAGCTTGGGATCATTGTCCTGTTGAAAGGTCCAACGTCTCCCAAGCCTCAGGTGTGTGACGGACTGCATCACGTTCCATCCATATCTCCTGGTACTGAAGAGAATTCATGGTACCTTGCACACGCTGAAGCTTTCCCTGTACCTGCAGAAGCAAAACAGCCCCAAAGCATGATTGACCCTCCACCATGCTTCACAGTAGGCAAGGTTCTTTTCATCATAGGCCTTGTTCTTCCTCCTCCAAACATAGCGTTGATCCATGGGCCCAAACAGTTCTAATTTTGTTTCATCAGTCCACAGAACACTAATCCCACAACTTTTGTGTTTGTCCACATGGCTTTTTGGCATACTGCAGTCGACTCTTCTTATTCTTTGGAGACAGCAAGGGGGTACGCCTGGGAGTTCTGGGGGGGGGGCACGGAGGCCTTCATTTCGCAGTGGTGGCGTCTTATTGTCTGGGCTGAAACTTCTGTACCCACATCTGACAAATCTTTTCTCAAGTTTCCTCAGCATCACACGGGGACTTCTCTCCACTCTACGCTTCAGGTAGCGCACAGCAGTCGAAGTCAGCATCTTCTTTCTGCCACGACCAGGTACGTTTCAACAGTGCCCTTTGCCTTGAATTTGCGAATGATGCTTCCTAAGGTGTCTCTTGTATGTTTAACATCTTGCAATCTTCTTATAGCCATTGCCCTTCCTGTGAAGAGAAATCACCTCTTCTCTTGTCTTCCTGGACCATTCTCTTGCCTTCACCATGTTTGTAACCACACCAGTAAATGTCTAGAAGGAGCTGAGTATCACAGTCATTTTAAAGCTGCCTAATTGGTGCTTATTATGCTGATTGCTGCTTCGGTGACATCCACAGGTGTTTTCAATACCTGATGGAAAGCACCTGTATGAACCTCTGTTCTTCAGATGGTAGTCTTTAAGGGGTTGAATAATTGTGGCAATGAAGAAACCACATAAGTGAACCATTGTACTACTGTATTACATAAACAATTGATGTCATTTTAGTTGCATTTGGGTAGTTACAACGTCCTTGTAGGATTTGATTCTGAATACAATTCCAAATGTACACTAATAGTCCCTAAACCCCTTTACAGCATTGGGGGTTGAATAATTTTGGTCACAACTGTACATGCTGAATGCGGAGTAGTTGGGGAAAACACATGCATACAGATTTGTAAAGTGGATGTTTTCTTCCACATGGTTTTTTTATGCAGACGTGCTCTAGAATCTGAGTGAACCAGCTTTAGTAAAATAAACCCTGTGTGCCCAGATCAAGTACTTCTATTGGACTTTACTCTGTCTGGTATGAAAAGATGGACTTTTCTGGACTTTTGTTTACATTGTGTTTTATTTTAATTTCTAGCTGCTGAGTAAAACCACAGCAGAAAAAGTGGAATCGGTGAGGAATGACCATGGAGGTACTGTGAAAAAGCCTCAAATGAACAACAAACAGCAGAGACCCAACCAAAATGGATGTCAGATACGTCGGCACTCTGGATCTGGGGCCACGCCCCCTATAAAAGTATGCAAATAATAAGATCCTGCTTTTTATTTGTTTATTTTTTTTTCATTGATAAAGTGGTTGCAAAGGCTCAAGGTTTTTTTTTTTTTCCTTCATGTAGTATATGCATGAAGGTAAAAAAACTGTGTGCAGCAGCCCCCCTCCCCAATACTTAACTGAGCCCCATTATGATTCATCGGTGTGCACGGGACACCCGTTGTCCGAGGACTCTCCCTCCTCATTTGGCTGAAACAGCAGCAGGAGCCATTGGCTCCCACTGCTGTCAATCACAGCTTGTTCGCCAATCAGAGAGGAGGCAGGGCCGAGCCACTGCACTTTGTGTGAATGGACATGCTGAGTAGTGGCTGGGGCGGGCCAAGAGGAGGATCGGGGCTGCTCTGTGCACAACTACTACACAGAGGAGGTAAGTATACCATGTTTGTTATTTGAAGAAAAAAAATAAAATAACACACACACACACACACGCACACGCTGTATTAGTAAAGAATCTCAGCAAAACTACACTGAGCCAGGTAGCCTAGTGAGTCATATAGAAACCAACCACATGCAGTCTGTCATTGCGAGGGTGCTAACAAGTATGTGTAATGTCCACTGTGCTGCAACAGTGTGTGTTTTACTTATTAGTGAGTTGTTTTGTTTTATTTTTTTCCTCTCTTGACTCATTACTTGACTTCCAGTCTGGCACTGATGAGATTTGGCACATGGAAATGGTCACTGTTTTTGAGAGTAGCACAAGTTAAAGATGCACATACATGTTAACATATTCATATGTAATTGTTTTATATATTCTATAATAAACACTGTCAATACAAATGTCAATCGAAAACACAATATAGGTGCTTTAATGTGATATGGGGATTGGGACAGAAGTGGGAGCACCCTTGTTTTATGGAGACTATAAAGTGCCATTGGATCTTTTGATGAAGTACTGGGTTTCAGTTTGGGCCTCATCAGACTCTACATAACTGAAATATTGCATTTGTGTGGAATTATCTGGTAAATTTCATAAGTGGACTTATAGGTTGTGCAAGGTACGTTTCTCTCTCGTTTCTCATTGACAAGTTACATTCCTTTTTGTCCTGCAGAAGAAACCCAAAATACTTATCCCGAAAGATCAGTCCTTGACAGATGCAAACAAGCACGGAGCAGGGGCAGAATCACAGTTTTTTGATAAGGTGAGTATGGATGCAAATTTTTATCTGGACTTTTTCTGCTGTTTGAATACCATTGGGAGAGATTTTCTAAAACTGGTACACTCAGAATCTGGTGCAGCTGTGTATTGTAGCCAGTTAGCTACTTCACCTTGTTCAATTAAGCTTTGAGAATAAAACCTGGAAGCTGATTGGTTTCTATGCAGAGCTGCGCCAGATTTTTCACCATGCAGTTTCAGTAAAAAAAACCCCATAGTCTCATGTTAATTTATGAATAATACAGTTATACTTTTAATATACTTAGTACTTGCACGGCACAAAGGCATTTTCTATACTGTAAAGCTATGAGGAGGCTTTTTCCAATGGTTATTCTATTTTTAGTGTGTCATTTTGTTTCTTGACATCACACTATTTTAATTCTTTTAAGTTTGGAAAAGTTAAGCACTTTGACTTATTTTATATTATTTTTATTATTATTTTTCCTATACCTGTTACCTTTCATAGGTCGTAAAGCTCTCAGAAGTGCAGAGGCCTATGATAATTTCCTGCGGTGTCTGGTGATCTTCAATCAGGAGGTTATATCTCGGTCAGAGCTGGTGCAGTTAGTTTCTCCTTTTCTTGCGTAAGTTTCTAGCATCCCATTCAGTGATTTTCTGTGCTTTTCAATGATGATGCAAGATAGTCGCCACCACTTAAAGGTGTACCTTACAAGAGATAGTAATGGGTTTATTACATAGGAATAATAATTTAAAAGCACCTCTTATATTTAACAGTGGTCAGAAAAACACACTAGAGAAAGTAAAGCTGATTAATTGCAGTCTCAGTGGGAAAAAAAAATGTTGTCATTGTTTTGGGTCAGGGTATTAGATTTGGCTTGGCAGATAGTGTGGTTTAATACAATCTTGAACATGAGAGGTGCGTCGGGGAAGTCAGGCACTCACCACTACCCTATTTAGGTGTTTATCTGAGACTCATGGGAACATCATATGGGTAGTCATTAACTGGTGTAAAATGTTAAAGCCAGTTGTGTGGCTTTATTTATTTTTTGTAATAATTGTATCGGAGCCCTCTATGAACAAATGTTCTCACTGGGGCTCAAGTAAATGTTCTTGGTTTTGTTGCTAAGCCAATACATAAGGTGTTGGGGGAGGGGGGGAATAAGGAACTCATGCACATGGAGATATTTTTTATTTTTTTTTTTCTTGGTTTAATGTAAAAAAACAGCTTTCACATAGGATAGATGAAGGTAACACATTATATTTCTGTGCTGGGCAAAGCGACATGATTGCTTTAAATGCACATACGCCTACATCTTCCCTTCACTCGCCATTGCTCTATTCAGCTACTGCAAGGTCAGAAAATATTTTAGTACTTAGAGTATGGAAGAACATAATACTAATGAGGACGGTTCTGAGCCCTGTGTAAAACTGGCCATACAATGTTCGCATTTTGGCTGGGTTTTGAACCATTCGAAATTCACTCCGTAGGTGGTGTGGTCATTGGCTTGCTACTGCCCGAAATTCCTCAAATGTAAAATTAAAGGAGACTGACAGAAAAATTGTTGGTCAAACATCAGCTGCATCCACTGAGATGCATCTCCTGTTTTAGAAATTTTCAAAGCCAGCTGTCAAAACACAGCAGCCAGAGAGGACTTTCATCCATCAGTGCTGTGTAGCACGGATGGAAGAATCTGCTGGATCTGTGTAAGTCCAGTTTAAAGGATAATTTCACCTTTTTAAAAAAAAAAAAAAAATTAATAAAAAAATGCAAATTGAGAACTACAAGCCAATAGCCGCAAAGGCTGTGTCAGTACTTGCAGTCCATTCATTCACAGAACAATGAATGATGCGGTTGTGTGGGCAGAGTCCACAGGGAGTGTAGGCAGTGGCTGCAGGAGTGGGAACATGTAACACATTCTCAAAAGGTGAACTTATCCTTTTAACTCCTGGTTGGAGACATTTGAAGCTTGGGCAAGGCTTTCTTTGTGTCCGTGGCTAAATGGAGTGATAAGGCTCAAAGGTAAGAAGTGTGTTGCTGGGCAAGGTAGAATTAAAGCAAACCACCTGTGTTTTGCTCTCCATTGACAAAAGAAAAGCTTTGAACTTAAAGTGAATCTGCTTTGTTTAACCACTTGCCCCCCTGATAATTTATCCCCCTTCCTGACCAGGCCATTTTTTGCTTTATGGCGCTGCGTTATTTTAACTGACAATTGCGTGGTCATGCAACGTTGCACCCGACTGAAATTTGCGTCCTCTTTTTTTCCCACAAATTGAGCTTTCTTATGGTGGTATTTGATCGCCTGTGCCTGTGCTTTTTTTTTTTTTTTTTTTTGCGCTATAAAAAAAAAAAAAAGACAATTTTGTGGGGAAAAAAACAAAACAATATTTTGGACTTTTTGCTATTAAACATGTATTCATCATAAATTTAGACTAAAATGTATTTTGCTCCATGTCTTTGCTAAAACAAATCCCAATACGTGTAAATTAATTGGTTTAGGTGAAAGTTATAGCATTCCCAAATGGCGGTATAGATACTAGAATTTTAATTTTTTTTTTTTTTCTTGCTAGTAATTGCGGTGGTCAGCGACCTTCTAGCGGGACTGCGGCAGGCATTCTGACACTGGGGGTAACTGACTTGGTGTTGCTGACATCCCCAGTGACACCAATACAGTGATCAGTGCTTAAAAAAAAAAAAAAAAAAAAAAAAAAAGCACAGACACTGCCCTAATGACACTGGCTAGGAAGGGGTTAACATGAGGGCCGATCCAAGGGTTAACTGTGTGCTGGGAGTGTTTTACTGGGGGGTGGTGTGTTGGTGCTTCACTGTGAGCACACTGCTCTGGATGGCTGTGCTGTGCACAGCCATCCAGAGCAGTGTGCCCGAGCCCAAAGAGAGGAGGACTGTTAGTAAACAAAGCAGTCCTCCTTTGTCGGGAGATGTTCGGTAGTCACCGGGCACAGGCGGGTAATCACCAGCCGGGACCCGATGATTGACGGCAGGTAGGGTGCACAAGCTTCTCGAGCACCCCCTACCCGGAAATTTAAAAACAAAATCACGTGATTTTGAGCACCCCTGCCGCCCTGTAGCACTATATCTGCTATAGGGCGGTTGGGATGTGGTTAAAAGGCTCAGCAAAAAACTATTTCTCTTTCCTTACTGCAAAAATATTTATGACCCTTTTTGTTTCCTGTGTTGGTACTCTTTATAAACAGGAAATTTCCTGAGTTGTTCACCTGGTTTAAAAACTTCTTGGGTTACAAGGAGTCCTCACACCTGGAAAGCTTCCCAAAAGAGCGTAATACAGAAGGGATTGCTATGGAGATTGACTATGCGTCATGCAAACGCTTGGGCTCTAGCTACAGAGCGCTGCCTAAAAGCTTCCAACAGCCCAAGTGTACGGGACGAACGCCGCTCTGCAAAGAGGTGAGGAATATAACTTGTAGGGTCAATATGTTTGTGTTAGTATTTTTTTTTTTTTCCAAAATGTGTAGTTTTACTGTGGTTCCTGTGCCAATGTAAACATTGCTGATATCATTTGGAACTATAGCTGTTGTACCACTGAAAAGGGGATTTTCTGCAAGTTTGAGTAAATCCTTACCACAGACCATTTGTAGAACGGTCTGTCCTTTTTTGGTGTTAATTGCAGTGAAGACTTAAGTGGATAGAGTGTGAGGCAAACTGTACTACGCACACAGCGACGACCTTAGAGAGGCCACCATGGAGAGCAAATGTCCTTATTGCTGACTTGCAGAACTGTGCTTTTGGAAAGCTTTGTTTTCCTCTCCTTGTGTATGCTCGGTGCATGGGGCTGATCATTTGACTTTAGATGTCCTTTAGATCGCTTTAAAAGGTTCATATCTTCAGTCATTCCCTGTATATGAGAAGAGCAAAATGATCACTGCTCAGCTCTGCAGCTTGGCTACATTTTACTGTACCAGCAGTGATTCCACGGATGAGTAATTTACTGGTCAGAGACTTGTTCAAGAGATTTCCTGTTCTGTAGACAAAGCGGGAAGTGCAGAAATCACTCCAAAGTGAGCTAAATCCTCTCTTGTCATGGGAATAAGTGCCCACATTGGAAGATTTCCCTCCTTTCTTTGTTTGGGTGGCAACTCAAAATTTTATATTTCCCTCCACTTTCAGTTCCCGTGATAATGGTAAACAAGAACAATAGAGTGAATCTCCTAGAAATGGCACCAACCACATAAAAGACATTCTTACCATTGTCCGAAACAAAAAAGAAAATCAGAAAATGTATTTTGTTATACTTTAGGCCAGGGACAGAATGATGGCCTTCAGACAGTGGCAGGTCACATATTTCTGTCCTCATGAGTTCACCCTATGAATTGGGCTTAGGAGTTAGGTTTAGGTTGCAGGTAAATTGGCAATTTTGCATTTAAACGTTCTGTATTGAAAGTTTGTTTTTTGGGGAGGGTATGGAGTTTTTTTGCACCATTTATATTAAATTTCAATGCTTTTGATTCCAGGCTCCCTGCTCGGAGACCCATCGGCGGCGTGTTGGCTGCTATGGCTATAGTTCACCCCAATTACCAAGTGCTCTGGTTTCCTTCCAGAAACCAAAAAATATGCTAATAGATATATTGACTTCCATGCAAAATTAGCTTTCATTCAAATTTTATATTGGATAAGGTTGTTAGATTTTAGGGGTTAATGTGAATGTTCTTGGCAAAGAGAATTAAAATAAAATAGGTGGAGTAATTTAGCCCTGTTCTTCCCTTTTATGCACAGGTCCTGAATGACACATGGGTTTCCTTTCCCTCTTGGTCAGAAGACTCCACCTTTGTTAGTTCTAAAAAAACACAGTATGAGGAGCACATTTACCGCTGTGAGGATGAGCGGTTTGAGGTAGGTATACATTTGTTTTCTGATTTTAAATGCTGCTTACTACCTAAAAAAGGATTAATTTTTTGACTACATGCGATGTGGGCTGACTTCATAGCTAAATATGGCACATGGGTCATGTAGCCAGTATTCAAACAACTCTTACCTGAATACTAGTTTTTGGCACCTTTTTAATTAAAGTAGATGTAAAGGAAATTCTCCCCTCCCCCCCTTAATGCATTCTCTGCATTAAAGTGGAACTCCACCCAAAAGGGGAAGTTCCACATTAAGGCCTCCCCAGCTCCTGTTTGTGAAAGGAGCTTTTGGGGAGGAGGGGGGGGATCGGGTGCAGATACCCGCTCCCACTTCCGCTCCAACCACTTAGGAAATTGGCGGCGGAAGTTCAGTTTTTAAGTTCAGTTTTTGTAGCTGCTGACTTGTAATTTTTTACATAGGAGAGTGGAACTCTGCATTAAGATAAAAAAAATCTTTTAGATGCAGCTCCCCCCAATACTTATCTGTGCCCGGTCTTGATCCAGTGCTGCTCCCTCTTCCCCCCCCCCCTCACTAGAGTCTGTTAGAGCTCTGGGAGCCATTGGCTATGCTGGTGTCAATCAAATCCAGTGATGAGTGAGAGGGGGCGGGCTGAGTTGCACTGTGTGTCAATAGATGCTCACAGTGTGGCTCAGAATCGAGCCCGCACAAGTGCATCCCTATCAAGTGGCTTACTAGGAGGGTACTCGTGGGGGGGGGGGGGTTGGTGATGGGCAGGGAAGTGGGTTGTTTGGCCAGGGAAGTGGGTTTGGCCATGAGTGCAATCCGAGGACTCCAGAAAAGGATTGGGGCTGTTCTGTGCAAAATATAGCACAAAGCAGGCAAGTAAAACCTATTTAAAGTCCTGGATTTTTTGTGTGGCCTGCCAACTTCTACTTATGGTTTACTGGTTCCTTTCTAGCAAGTTTAAGCTGAACTCCTAGGATAAGAAACTTTTGTCTGTATACTTGAAAAATTTTACTTAGATCTTGGTGCGCAGTGTGTGTTTCTTCCACAGCTATGAACTAATCCATTATGAAACTTTGCATCTGTGTGGGAACGTTCTGGAACAAAAAACAGCCACTGCTGCTCCTTTTCCTTGTGCAGGGTGACTGGTCTTGTCTGCACAAATCCCCCCTGTAGTTTTTTTGCAGACAGCCCTTAAAGGGGGGGGGGACCTGTTGGGTCCTTCTAACAACTCTGCTTTCTGCACAGTAATGATGTCACTGCCAATTTTAATATGGCAATATCTGGGTATACAAAGGCATGTGGTGCACAACGTGTGGATTTAAATCCTTTATGGCTATTTGAATGTTTTTGTTTTTTTTTTTTTGTCTAGAGGTCATCATTACAGTTGTTGTTTCTACTCTTTAATGAAAACTTTAAGTCTTTGAGTGCTTACAGATCTGTGTGTTTTCTCAGCTGGATGTTGTATTGGAAACCAATCTGGCTACTATACGAGTACTAGAGGCCATTCAGAAGAAGCTTTCACGGTTATCTGCGGAGGACCAGGCTAAGTTTCGGTTGGACAACACTCTAGGAGGAACATCTGAAGTTATTCACCGGAAAGCTCTTCAAAGGATATATGCTGACAAGGCTGCTGACATTATAGATGGTCTTAAAAAAAACCCAGCTGTTGCCGTCCCAATTGTATTAAAGAGGTCAGTGCATTGTAGGTGATGTGACACACAGGGCTGTTTTTGTCTTAGTTTGCATTGTATGTAAACTGCTCAGAATTCTCCGCTCAGTGTATTGCTTTCATCTGAGATTTTGGTTTGTGTATTTTATTTAATTCACTTGTGTGTATTTGGTGTTTCACATTTGAGTTTACTTTACTTTTCTGGTATTTACCCAGTTTCTTTACTCGCTTCTTTTGAGTTACCTTTGTTTGAGTTGCCTCTAACCAGCCTTCTAATATCTTTGTGCTGTCTGAAGGTTGAAAATGAAGGAAGAGGAATGGAGGGAAGCACAAAGAGGCTTCAATAAGATATGGAGGGAGCAAAATGAAAAGTACTACCTGAAATCTCTAGACCACCAGGGTATAAAAACTATAAACAGACTGACACAAAGGTTCTCCGCTCGAAGAGTCTGCTAAATGAAATTGAAAGTATCTATGATGAGGTAAGCATACGTTTATTGCCTAATGCAGCCTTTAGATTCATCCTGTAATTTCTGCTTGTTTAGGTGGAGAATTCACAAATCTGTGTGTTCTTTTAAAATATGGTACCAACAAGCGTATGCAAATGCGAAAGTCACAAACTAGCATATCGACTCTAAATTCTATAACGATGCCTTTTGAAAGGAGAACTCTGGGTAATAGTCAACAATTGAATATTAAATGTATATAGGTGTTTGCCCATGTCTGCAATTCATTGTTTAGAAAGTAACTTTCCTAAACTAGTTTTGGACCTGAGAAGACTAATCTAATGCTGCAGTGTGCTCTGGAAATGAATTGACATGCATTTCTGTACAGCATTGGTCTTTTCCCTGTTCTCATAATTTCAATGGAATTTACACTCAGCTGATTTTAGCCACACAGTGCAGGGACAGTAGTACTTTCTATCCAGAATTGCACATAGCCAGCATGGTTATAGCTTCTAATTGGAATGATAAATAACAGGTGTGTAGCATACCATGTAGATGCATGATTTGAGTTTGCCTTTCATTGAGTTTGTTTTTAGAGGTGCCCAAGTCCTCTGATTGCTGTATTCCTCTTTGATAGCGACAAGAGCAAGCATCAGAAGACAATTCTGGAGTCCCCTCAGGACCTCACCTCACATTGATCTACGAGGACAAACAGATACTGGAAGATGCAGCTTCTCTTATCATCCACCATGTGAAACGACAGACTAGTATTCAGAAGGAAGACAAATATAAGATCAAACAGATCGTTTACCATTTCATCCCAGACCTGCTCTTTGCCCAGCGAGGAGAGCTGTCTGATGTTGAGGAGGAAGAAGAGGAACAGACAGATGAAACAGAGGATGGGGTTACCAAGAAACACAATGGGGTTGGGGGAGGCGGGGGCAATAGCCCACCAAAACCCAAGCTGATGTTTGGAAACACCGCAGCGCAGAAGTTTAGGGGCATGGAAGACGCTTACAACTTGTTTTATGTTAACAACAACTGGTACATCTTTCTGCGTCTGCACCAGATACTCTGCTCCCGGCTCCTGCGCATTTATAACCAAGCGGAAAAACAGGTGGAAGAGGAAATGAGGGAACGGGAATGGGAAAGAGAGGTACTTGGGCTGAAGAGGGACAAGAATGACAGTCCAGCCATACAGTTGAGACTGAAAGAGCCAAGTAAGTATAAGTGACTAAAACATTAAAATAAAGAGGTTTGTGAGATTTGAAGAATATTAAGAGAAGAGAGGTGACAGTGATTTGAGGTTCTTGCCCTCGCTGTCTCCTGTTTTTTGCATAGCTTTCTTTTGATTTTCTTCCTAACTATTTCTAACCAATTATTTTATATGATCACTAATGCTTTAATTATGTGCAACAAACCTGTGACATGTTTGAAAGAATTTCTTCACCACCCCCTCCCCCAACTGCTCCCTTTTGAAGCTGCAAAGGCAGTGGATAGGGATGAGGTTTAACATCGCGGTGCTGCAAAAATGATCCCTTCTGTCACATGCACATGGATGCGATGCAGGCTTTTAGAGGGTAAATCGGGTAGCAAGAAAAAGCGTTCCACCACAGATCAAACATTTTTCAGAGGATACAGCTAGTGTAAACGACCCCTAATGCAGTTAAGTAGAAAAGCTTGGTCACTTCCTTGCCCTCAGTCTATGATGGGGCAGTGAAAGTGAATCTAAAGGCTAAAGGTTTTCATGCATTCTATGCATGAAGGTGAAAACCTTCCTGTGCAGCAGCCCCCCCTAATACTCACCAATGTGCATTGGAGTCTCGGCTATCCCGGGACTCCCTCTCCTCATTGACTGAGACAAGTGTCCCGTTGTCAAGCACAGCCAATGAGGAGAGGGGGGCAGGACCAAGCCGCAGCACCATGTGTGAATGAACACACGGAGCAGCGGATGCCCCCATAGCAAGCTGCTTGCAGTAGGGGCACTGGACAGGAAGGAGGGGCCAAGAAAGCCTGCGGGGGACCCGAGAAGAGGAGGATTTGGGCTGCTCTATGCAAAACCACTGCACACAGCAGGTAGGTGTATAGACATGTTTGTTATTTAAAAGAGGAAAAAAAAAGCCTTTAGAATGCCTTTTTAAAGCATTAGCAGTTCAGCCCTCTGCTCTTCTTTGTCAGCAAATTTACATGCGCATACCTGATTTTCTCATAGCACTGCACCTTCTGTAGCAGCCTTTACAACAGGCTAATACAGGGGTGGGCAAACTTTTTGACTTGAGGGCCGCAATGGGTTCATATATTGGACCCGGGGGCCGGACCAAGAGTAGATGAATGATGTGTATGTGTCATCCATAGTAAGTATAGTAATATTCCCCCATAGTAAGCATAGTAATTAATCCCCATAGTAATTCATCCCCCATATAGTAATTCATCCCCCCTATAGTAATTCATTCCCCATATTAATTCATCCCCCGTAGTACTATTCCCCCCCCCCCCCCCAAGTAGTAAGACAAGTCCCCCCTGTGTTAATTTTTTCTTACCTTTGCTCCGCGCGTTCCTCTCGCCGTGTTCCCGCGCCGTTCCGGTCTTCAGGGCGGACTGTGAGAGGAGCCTAGCTCCCCTCACGTTCGTCACGCTGCCCCGCCTACACTCATCCTGACAGCCAATGTATCACGCTCCGCGGGCCGGATTAAAAGGTTTGCCGGTCCGTAGTTTGCCCATTGCTGGGCTAATACCAAGTCAAATGTAAGTTTTTATGCTAACTGCATTTTAAATATTTATTTGTTTATGTTTTTAATGACTACCTAACTGCATTAACTGGTCTTTTTCAATATCTGCCTGGAGTTCAGAGGAGAGTACATAATTGAAATAGAAGTACACACTGATAGTGCTGGGTCGAACGAAAAACTGACAGATCTTCGTACCAACACAAGTGATGTTGGTGCGGCAATCTCCCCTGCTATTTTATTGCATTTTGATAGCGGGGAGCCATTCCTGCCCAAACACCCCACAAAAATTTACAGATCCAAAGGCTGCAAGCGCTGATCGGAGGCTAGATTTTTAGCATGCTCTTTCTTCAAAAGCTAGTCATTAGATTGGCTTCTGTCAGACAGCTGTACAAACTGACCAAAAGTTGTTCGGTTCCTGCTGAAATGGCCGAGTTTTGGCCAGTGTGTACCCAGCTTTAGAAGGTGCCTGATCCTCTGTTTATACCATTGGGCACATGATATCCAGATTGTCAGCTTCCAGCTCACAGGTTGGAGCTCTAGTATGTCACCCTAAAATATGCTACATGTCTAGTGCTTTGAATAGTGGTGGGGAGGGATATTTGCAGGCATATCTTGGCGACTTGACTGCTTATATTTTTCAGACTATTTCTGTGCCACATTGCTGCTGTAATTGTGATCTCTGTACACAACAGAATTTCTTCCTGCCCTATAGAGTTTAGTTTACAAAAACTGAAACTGTTTTCTAGGACTGCCACTCCTTTTTTTTTTTTTTTTTTTTTTTTTTTTTCTTTTTTTTTCTTTTTTTTTTTTTTTTTGAGTTGGACAAAGCTGACAGTAACTGCTAAATTGAGTCCGCTTCCAGTACTTTAGAGCCACCAATGCAATACTTTAGTTTACCTAATTCAGCTGTTCTGGTCCACTGCTTTTGGACAAAAATAGTAAATGTACCTTTTTTTTTGCAGGTAAAAAAATGTGCATTTTTAATTTTTTTTTAATATTTTTTTTGTCCAAAGGAGCCTGTAAAGCGTTGCACTAGTGATCAGTAGATCGCTGATGCCACGCAGATCTCCTGCAGACCTGTCAGAATATCTGCTTGCCGTACGGGTTGCATGAGCAAGCAGATATACTGATAGGAAGCTTCAGTGAACTACCACAGTGCTCCACAGCACCGTGGTAGTCCATTGAAAACTGCAAGTGACAGCCACTAAGGCTGTCGGGACTTGTAGGCACTCATTCACAGAATACTGTGAATGAGTGACGCAGTCGCGTGGGCGGAGCTGTTTTCAAACCTGACAGATAGTATGGGGAGAAGTTTCCCCATACTATCTGTCAGAGAGGAGGGGGGTGGCTGGCATGGCTGCGACTATGGGAACATGTTACATGTTCCACCCTAAAAAAAACGGGTGGAACATGTAAAATGTTCCAAAGGTGAACTTATCCTTTAACCCTAGTTTCAAATCTCTGCGGGTGGTACCACTGCAGATCCGCCCGAAAATCTGTGCGGCCGCACCACTCGCACAGAGCAATGCAGACCTGCAGGCGGGTGCTATTATTTCTAATGGCACGCCACCCACACTGGAAAATGCAACCGTACTGGGAACAGCGGTTCCTGTGCGGGCTGCGGTTTCCAAATGGGTGCAGGGACTTCTTCCCTGCGTGTCACGGGCACAGGAATCCATTCAAACGAATGGGCTCTCGTGCCCCTGCCAAACGTGGCCCGCATGGCCGCATATATGTGAACCAGGGGTAAGTGTTTTCCATGTTACTCCCTACAGATGGTTGCCATCTAACAAAATGAGATGTGTTTTTTCTAAGCCATTAGAAATGTGTATATACATACAGTGTAATTTAATACATGAATATTTTGACACGTGTGTTATCCAACTTGTTCTACAGTGGATATAGAGGCTGTGGATTATTACCCAGCATTCCTAGACATGGTTCGGAACCTGCTGGACGGGAATATGGATTCGAACCAGTATGAAGACTCCCTGCGGGAGATGTTTACCATCCATGCCTTCATTGCCTTTACTATGGATAAACTGATCCAGAGCATAGTCAGGCAGGTGAGTACTGAAAGAATGTCTTGTTACATAAAGGATTTATGATCACGTATATAAAATTTTAGTTTGAAATAGAAATGCAACATTAGTGTATAGGTTAAAAAAACAAAACATAAATGCCTAACATGGTCAATTTGAAATAGGAAAGCAGGGGGGCTGGCTGGATCACCAGTTATTTTACACAAAGAAAGAAATGCAAAAGGAACAGGAATTTATTTTTACCACAAATACATAATACAGCAGGCACATATCAGAGATATGAAATGTTGATGTAACATATACATTTCTGCAAAGTTGAAGCCTTGCTTTGATGGTCATGCCTAGCGCCCAACAAACCTTCTTGCAGGTGTTTTGCAATAGAAATCGATGTTTGTGGTCAAGTTCAAAATGCTTCCACTTGAGTAGCTACAGGGGTATGATCACATATTATACAGGATTTATATAGCGCCAACAGTTTGCTCAGCGCTTTACAATGTTAAAACTAAAGCTTCTGAGTTAACCCTATGCACATTGCCATGCAGATGTTTGCGTAAAAACAAAGATTCTTAGTGTAAATCATGCAATACGTGTTCAAGGTGGCCAACTGCATCCAAGAAATCCTTCTTTGGGAGATCCATATCCTTACTCTGCTGTGCCTTGAGCATGTATCGCAATAATATGCAAGCCAAGAATCCCTGTTTTTTTTTTAAGTTTGCTTGATATATGCAAGTGTGTGTATAGCAATGTGCACAGGCCTTTTTAATGAAGAAAATTGGATCTTTATGTGCAGTAAAGTTCTTACCAGTCAGACTGACTGCCATTCATAGGCATCATCAGGAAGTTAAGCTGCAGCTATCGCTGTTGTTTTACAAGACTAGGGTTTACAAGACTAGGGTTTACAAGACTAGGGTGGTGCTGCCAGCCTTCTGGTTGATATCCATTCTAGGTTGCAAGCCCTTGGAAAGCGTTTAATCTTGTTTACCTCTCTCCATTTACGTAGTCGTTTGTTAGAGACTGCAGGGAATGTTGCAATATGTATTCCCTATATTAATGATAATGGCCTCTGCTTCTAATGCTAGCAGTGCATTTACTACAAAATGTTATATTGTCATCAGATTGAAATTGTGTAAAAATAGCTGCAATTGTTCACCCAGCCCCTGTCCCTTTCATACATTTAAGCTGGGGATGTGGCAGTGAATGTGATCAGTCACTTTTTATATCTCCAGCCAGCATGTTATAATAAAGGATTGTGACCTGTTGACCTCGGCTGTGAGATTTGATGGGTACAGTCAAGTTTTGGTCATCATTATTTTTTACTGGTTCATTGTTGGTGATGTCTTGTCTGATTGTATTATGTCACTGGACTGCACACATTCCACAAGTCAGGGAGCTTATACTGCTAAGAAATTATGGCCTCTAGCTACATTTTCTGTTAACGTTTTCATTGCTGCTGTTGATAGAATTTGTTTTTGCTCCTTAAATAAGACATGTGGTATGTGTTAATACAATTACGTGTGATTCCTGCTGATCCTCTCTTGTCATTGATGAGGTCTGATATTCTGCAGTATCCTATTACCTTAAAGGATACGTTCACCATCTGAATATGTTACACCTCTATTTAGGATGTTCAGCATCCTCCTCCTCCACTGCCCCCTTCCCTGTGACAGCAGACAGGTGGTTCCTTTTCCCACACCCACTGTCACATTTTAAAGAGGCGCAGCTGTGTCATTCATTCACAGAAATCTTGACGTTTTTATTGAACTATTTGGGTACTGATGAGCACCCTCCTAGGTTTCGAACATTTCCTGCAACAGAGTAACTGCCTGTATTGAGATATGAACAGAGAGCTGTCAGTAGTGTCTGCAGAAGCCTGACTTTTTTTCTTGTGATCTACTAGGGTGCAATGCTTTGCAGGCACCTGATTAAAAAAAAAAAAAAAAAAACCCATTAACCTACCTGGCGGTATTCCCGAGTGTAGCTCGGCGTAAAGTTTCAGTACCACAAGCGGTAACCCCGAGCTACACTCGGGAATACTATGCGGTACTGCTCTACGATCCCTCGATCACTTACCTTGTCCTGCGCTCCCGCGATGTCCCTCCTGCAGTGTTCCCGGCAATGTAATCCGGCGTATGCATCTGTCATCTGGGTTCCGTCCCTGTGAGCGTCGGGACGTATGGGGGACGAAACGGCGGGAAATTAAAAAATGACAAAAAGTGACATTCACTAAAATCACATAGTAAAACATTACTGTATCAAACCATTTCACATACATTTTGTCCCGAGTGCTTTGTCCTGTGCCCTGCATTTTTCCTGTTCTTTCTGCCTGGAAACTGAGAAATGTCCATGGCGTCCAAAAAGCGTCCCTTTAGGTCAAAAGCGGTTTTAGATCCAGCTAGAGAACAGCGATAGTAAATCAGAACCACTTGCAGAATTGAGTGATAATGATTCGTGGGGAAATTCGTCATCAGACACTGAAAACGATTTTGCGACTTTGCTCAGTGATGTGTGAACTTGGCGCTATATTTCAAATTTCAGTGTTTTTTGTTTTGATTATATTATTGAATTAAATTTATTATATTATAATTTTTATGATTATTTATTAAATTATAATTTATGATTTTGTGTTTCAAATTTTATCATATCCGGGATGTTTACTAGACTCTCTTGTGCGGACAGATTTCAGTGAGTTATTCCTAAAAATGACATGCCTACAATTAAAAAAAAAAAACATATTTTCATGCAAAAAAAGTATCGCTTTCAGCACCAAAAATCTGAAATAATCATACCGCCAGGGAGGTTAACCTGCAAACTCGTGTGCTTTTTAAAAAAAAAAAAAAAGTGTGTGTTGTCTTTTATTTTCTATTTTAAACTGAGTGGGTTGTTTTACACAGAAGTCAAAGCAAGTTGCACATGAAATCGGCAAAAAATAGTCGGAGATCCTTTTTCTAAATCTGCAAATCAGAATCACACCGATTTGAACAGTTCTGTAGGCACAAATAGGGTGCAACTTGTCATGCAATTTTGAACTGTCAAATAGCAGGACAAATTGTATTGGTGTGTTAGGGGGCCCACGTGGTTGCAACATCAGTGTGATGCTGCATCTGTTCCCCCACTTCTTAGACTGAAAACTGAGTGATCAAACACCACTGATCGCTTAGTTCTTCAGTGAGCAGTCAGTCACCGGTTCTCTGCTCTGCCCCTCCAGCACTCACTGGAGCGCTGGGCTGTGAAGGAGGCAGAGGTAGCTGCCTCCTGGCTCTCAACCGGTTGCTGAGAGGCTCAGCCAGCTGCCAATCAAGCTCTGGATGGATCTCAACTATATCACCGGGATCTTTCCAGAGTATGGACCAGCTCTGTAATGTAGGCTTTAGCCCACTGTTGGCTGAAAACTGGTCACAAGACTGCAGAACTAAGTGCACTCCTGTGACCCACAGGGCAAGTAGGGCCAAACAAGCTTTTATTTTACTTCTCCTTTAAAACTAGTCCTATCCACATTGCTTTTCAGTGTTCATATTTATGAAATCCTGACATTTGTTTAAATATAGCATACCTGTTATGATAGAAATGTCTTTATGCCGTTCCCTTTTAGCATTGAGTGTGACCGTTTTTTTTAATGCTATAGGTTTAGGGCACAAACGGTGTAATCCAAGAACATGTGCAACTGTATTTTATTACAGATTTTTTTTTTTTTTAAAGACTTAAAGTTGATGACCTCATTATCTAGGGCAGCCTTACTCAACCTTGTTAACCTGGAAATACCCGAGATCATTTTTTGGTCTTGAGGATCCCCTAAAGCCTGGCGCACACAGGATAAATATCAGCCGGTTCAACAAACTGGCCAACATTCGACCCGTGTGTACAGCAGCCTGTCAGGCTTCTGTGAAACAGGAATGCTGGAAAAGCAGCATCCAATCAATTGACTAGTGTCAGCTGAGAGATCGCTGTACCGTTTGCTTAGTACAGTGAGCTCCCCGCAAGCACTTCGGGTTTTTTTTTTTTTTTTTTTTTTTTTTCTGCCGGATGGGTTGAAAGGAAAAAAAAATCCTCTGTATACTAGGCTTAATTCCTATATCTACATTCCTATTATTAGCATGATAGTCATTGGGAAGAATGCCCCTTCTATTTTGTGGTCTTTGTGAAAATCACCCCATTACACACAGTTAATAAGTTAATGGATGTCAATGGTTATTTATTGGAAAGGCAGACATTGCTCTTTGCTCAAGGAACCTGGAGGAACCTTAGGGTTCCATAGAACCTTGGTTGAGAGAGGCTGGTCTATGGCAATAGGATATATTTTCTGTCATTAATACTGAAACAAATTATCCTTTTTTCTTTAGCTCCAGCACATAGTCAGTGATGAAATCTGTGTCCAAGTGACTGATCTCTACCTCTCTGAGAGCAACTGCAATTCCACTGGGGGTCTCCTGGCTACCCAAGCATCACGCAGCCTGAATGAAGCCAACTACCAGCGAAAGTCTGAACAGCTGATGTCCGATGAGAACTGCTTCAAGGTAAGGGGCTTGACCCATTTCCTCTATTTAAGGCTGTTTTAATAAAGATGAGATATAATTTCTATTGAACTTAAGCCAGCCATAGACGGTTCAAATCTCTACAAGTCCAGCAGGAACTGGATAAGATTTGAACCATGTATGGGCAGGCTGCATGTACCCGAGTTGATCGATCTGGTACAACCAGCCTGCCGGATTTAACATCCAATTATTGTTAGCGGCTGTTATAGCTGCTAGTAATAATCACCGTGTTCTCCCAGCGGGGGCTGGGAGAAAGCCTGTGGAAAGAATAAGGGAAGTATAACTGCTTTTGTCGTCAGTCTGCATTTTTCCAAGGACATCTCTGCTGGGGATGCCTGATTTTAATTCTGCTTCTAATGTGATCTAAGTGATGAATTGATTGTCAATATTCAGTAACTCTGGGCCTTTTCTTGTGAACAATCATTGTGACCAGAAAAGGCTGTTATCAATAAATCAGTCCTTTGCAAGATGGTAAGACTATCTCAACTATCCTCCAATTTCTCAGTGTTGAGGAAGAGGGAGTTCACAACCCTATAAAATCTTTAATTTCTCCATAATGATTTTTTTATAGCACAAAACCTAGGAAAATTATTGTATTGTTAATGACTGTGTATACCTTAAAGGTCAGTCCATCCAGAAGTGATAATACATTTATAGATGGAATCTGATTGGCTGAGGCAGCCCCTAGTTTCTTGTATGTATGGAAAACTCCCAACAATATGTTTTATGTGCTTGAGTACACAGTAATTCAAGTACAGTCCTGCCTACAGGAGGTTTGAACTGTGGCAAACAGGAAAAGGGTATTCTGGGTTCTGGGAGGTTGAATACCTTTTTTATAGTAATTTTTTTTTTTTCCCTTTGTTTTTTCAATCAGGGTTTTTCACTACACACCTGCCTCAGCTGGTCTGTATGTATTGGCATTTCCTCAGTCTAGCTTTTGGAGGCTTTACACGGACCATGCTGGACTGGACATGTATTACTATCCTGGAATGTGACCTTCAGCACTGGGCTCTACATTGTGGTGCTCTGCAGACCTGAGTGTTAGCCATGGAGTGCTTTTCTGGCCCAGAGCTGTGATGTGACACTGAGGACTTCCTTTGTTAGTAAGGCCATTCACACATAAGTACAGGGAGCTACCTCACTGTTTACACTGCTAAACCTTTCAAATTTTCCACCACTGCTGGTAAACGTTGGGGCTGAGAAACTGACCTCTTGAAGTCATACGCTGGATGGAAGAACGTGTATGCAATCCATGCTCTTTCCTGCCATTTGACGTAGGGGAAGCACCACATAGATCTCTGGTCTTTTTCCACCTCCAATCTACAGTGACTTGTCAGTCTCTGGCAAGTCTCTTCCGCACCAGCTGCCTGAGTTTGTGGGTACTTGAGGCCATGCCTTGCATTTGGACCTAGCTGCTTAGCGCAACAGTCTCTGTAAAATGCAAATGGTTCTGTCCTGCTGCCACAGGTGCCCTCAGCCCACACAGCCTGCACCATCCCCTGCAGCGAGTCCCAACTGTCCATTGCTGAAGAGATTTACTTTACAGGCATTTATATAGCGCTGAAAATTTACAAAGCACTTTACATACTGTACGTTCACATCAGTCCCTGCCAGGGGCGGACTGACAACTCATGGCGTCCCCCGGGCAATCATCAAAGTGCTTACAATCTAAGGTCCTGATCTTGCTTTAGACATTATCCAATTAACCACTCTTTGGAGTGTGGAAGGAAAGCAGAGTACCCAGAGGAAACACTTGCAAGTACAAGGACAGTCATCTCGTCCTTTCCATCATCCTCGGCAGTAGGTGCTGGTAGGTCTTCAGAGCTGGACTTTCACTCAGCCCCTAGGATTCAAAGCTAGAGGTCAAATAAACCTGAGAAGCCTTTTGCATGAAGGTGCAGGCTCATTATGCATCTGTTTGGGTTCTTGGGTAGCTTTCCTTTTCAGTGTTTGGGGCAGAAGACACCCCTTTTTAGGCATTACAGGTGTCTCTTGATGGTAGCTGTCTGTCACCGGCACATGAGGCTATCCAGCCGAAACCCTGGATAAAAAGGTATATACCATGTGTGCCATTGGACTTTTCATCACAGTTAAGGGGGTTCACCACTTTCCCCCTTCAAGGGTGTTAGGGGAACCCTCCCTTAAGAGTGCTTTCCCTTTTCTCATTGGCTTTCAGTCCTTTTCAGTGGCCCTCTTTATTGCTATCGGCTTGGTCTCTAAACAAGAAATCTAGATCATCTCTGGACAAGGTGGCCCCTGGCATGATCCATTTTCTGGACCAGGTGGTAGCTGGCATGACCCATCAATATCTTTAGGTGAGTAGATGTGTCTGTCCCCCTCATCCCAGAGCAACTCCTATGACAGAAGAAGGTGGCCTTTTCCTTACATTGGGTGGCTCTAAGAGTGCTACTCTTGAATGCACTGCGCATCTATTTGTCGTCAATTGTTGATCTCTACCTGCATGGCAGGCAGAAAGCATTGCTGGTGGACTCTGCTCTCCTTATCCCTTTCCTTAACACTGACTTCAAGGGATTGTACTCTTGCGTTTTCTACCAGTCCCAGGTGTCCTTTTTCATTCTGTTATGTGATAATGCTAACATTTTTTTTAAATCTCTTATTTTGCAAGATTGATTGTCTGGTTAGGCAACCTCATTTTCATTATGGGATTTTCCTTTCATGAATACTAAGGGTTAGGAGTGTAAGACTTGGGACTTCCATTGTAAACTGGCTGGCATTTTCTTGCTGACTTGGTTTTGTGCAAGGTTTCCTCTGGAATCTATTCTCCTGGGGGCTTGCCCCAGTGTGTTTGATTATTTTCTGACTATGTCAGACTGTCATGTTTTGGATGTCTTTCATCCTTATCAGATGGTTATGATACTCCACTTGTTTTGATAGCTTTTTGATTCACAACATTCACTAGTTCTGGCTCTGTGTTCCCGGGATCGAATCATTCCCCTCTCCCTCCCCCCTTAGCAGCGATCTCTTCTGTCCTGATTTTGAACGTCAGGTTGATCCTCTGTCACTCTTACTTGGTTGTTGGCAGCTTCCCCTGTCCTGCAGGGGCTTAATCTAATCTCATTCAGATTCAAGTTAGTTCTAAGTTGGACAGTTCCCTCTTCCTTTTTGGTGACCTGTCAGTGGCTGTTGCTCACCCATTTTGCTTTTTGATGTCCTGACTGTATCTGTACTCCTGTGTCCCTAAATGGACAAGAGAGAAAGTGTGTGCGAGCTTTTCCACAAAGCTGAGCTTCCTGGGTAGAAGGGGTTAAACGTGGGCTGGGTAGTAGGGGTTAAACGTGGGCTGATTTACAATTTTCTGTTTGCCAGTGCCCAATCTCCTGTATTCTGCATTATAACCTGACTGTATCTGAATTCCTGTATACCTCAATGTACTCCAAATAAATGTATTTTTAGGTAAGTACATCTTATTACACTTGTCATAACACCTGCTTGGGGGTTTTGGGTGTTCCCACCCACATTTGTATGTTCTAGAACCTCCAACAAGAGTGGGAATTTCCATTAACAGCCACAGCAGCTTTGCAGAGTCCCCAAGAGTAATAGGAAACTGTTAGGTTATTTAACTTTCTAGCATTTACCATAACTGAAATCCGTTTTGCATGGACTGACCCTGTATGTAAAGAAACTGAGTAATGATCCGTGTTTCCCCACTGACTGATGTTGTTGTTTTTTTCTTTGTTTTTTTTTTTTTGTTTTTTTGTTTTGCAGTTGGTGTTCACCCAGAGTTGTGGCCAGGTCCAATTAACAATTGAATTGCTGGACACTGAGGAAGAAAACTCAGATGACCCAGCGGAGACCGAGGTAAGCCCGACTCGCGCCTGAGGGGCTCTCGGTTACCGCCACCCCTGGCAGGACCCCAACCTCCAGCACCACCTGGGGGATGGGACACAGGGGGGCATGTGTGGAGACCTAGAAAATCCACCTTCTGAGATCAAATCACAGCCCACCCCGGTCACACTAAACCTGCAGTGCGTGTACTGTCTGAATCTCTTTTTATAGAACTGTACATAATGTTACCCATCTGTGGTTTGTTACTGAATCCAGAAAAGACAAACTTCCCAAAACTATCCAAACATTTTGGAGCCAGAATTAAATTGTAATATAATAAAACTTGTTTTAACGATCCAGGGTGACTCAGTGATTTGTTCTGTTTTTCTCTTTTACTTTCCATGCCTTTTCTTCCCATTCTTATCTATCTTTCTAAACGTATTAATATTCTTCTTCTGTCCTTAACCCATGGAAACAAAGATTCTTTAGTATGTGTAGCTGTCATTGCTGGAAATTGTTTAAGGGGTTTTACGGTGAAAGGTAACATATTCTTAACACAGATAACCAATAGTCAACAGTGCGGTGTATATTTGTTGAAATTGCCTGGCTAACAAATGCCAACTTCGTTAAATATATGTATCAAGATATTTGAATGGACGAACTCTGATACAAGGTAAAATATCCCCAATACTTGCAGATTCTGGAGATCGCCTCTATAAAAGAATATGTTTAGTATTTGTTCTGGTGAGTCATTGGTTTGAAGACACTGGGGTTGATTTACTAAAACTAAAGAGTGCAAAACCTGGTGCATCTGAGCTTGGTAGCCAATCAGCTTCTACAGCTTGTTCAATTAAGCTTTGACAAAAAGAAAAAAGGAAGCTGATTGGTTTCTATGCACAGAGCTGCACCAGATTTTTGCGCACTCTTTATTTTAGTAAAACAATCCCACTGTCATCTTGCCCATTTAGGACAAAGGTAATTGTCTGCCTGGAATTCCCCCAAGGTATATTTGCTAATCCTCATGCCTTTGTTCCCTCTTTTCTCCATTGAAGCCCTAGCTTTATTGTTCTAAGGAAGCAGGGCTTCTGTGTAATGGGGAACAGTTGACCTTCACCGTGTGACAGGCCTTGAAATTAAGTGGCCAATCACCAGATCCAAACACTGTCCTGTGGGTAGGGGCAGTGAAGTCATTCAAGCAGATAAGCTCTGAAACCAGAGTGGACTCCTGTAGCTGGGAGGTTGCGAAAAAGCATTGATCCCTGAGTATTACCTTGCTGGGGAAAGCGGTACGCTATCAACAGACCCTGCCGAGTCTGGGAAAAGTGACAGGGTCCTCCCCATCCAAAATCTATGTCAGGATTTCTACATTTCTGTGTGTCGTCATATCATTGCTTCAGGACTCAAAATTGATGAGACATAACTTTTAAAACTGTGTATTGGAGGATATTGCATGGTAAGCTTGAAACCTTTCAACCACTCAGAAGACCAATTGCTTAGAACCCTTTTTTAAGGCCTAGAGTTATATATATATATATATATATATATATATATATATATATATATATATATATATATATACATACATACATATACACACACACACAGTTGTTAGTAATCAACTCTGATACCAAATATGTTTCCGTAGCAGCATAGAAATTGTGATGTAATGGTAAAACATAAAAACATAAGCTCCACAACGTCTATGAAAGAGAATTTGCAGTCCTTGCACAGAACATGTATTCTCAAGTGGGTATCCTCTAATCAGCTACTTCACTTATGAATCCGGTTCTAAAAATTCAAATTTGAGATTTCTGTGTTGGTATATTCAAGTAAAAAAAAAATGTTTGCTTATCTGAACAAAACTTTATTGTTGTTGAGGTAGCATTTCTAAATAAAAACTATTGTATAAGGATCATTATAGGTACTGTGTTCATTGGAGGACAAAACAAAGATTGCAGTCATCCATTTTATCAGTAGAAATGGTTGAAGAAAATTACTTACTAAAGGGGTCCTTTCACAGCCTTGGAGATCCACTTTTCTATATTGAGTTTCTGCTGGCCTCTATTCACTGTGATAAATGGAGGTTACCACAGGTCTGCAAATTTTAACTGACCAGGAATGCATTTTCAGTATTTTCAATCCTGATTTTGTGGAGTTGCACCAGCATGCCATATGTTGGTCAACCGTTATAAAGAGACATTTAAAGTTTGCTGCCACCTATCTGATTTGGCACAGGAGTGCTGATGTCAAATTTTCATGCCCATGTAATGGTACGCTAAGATTAGGCCTATATTTCTCAGTAGTTTCTGTACATTTGGTAGATATTTGGGGTTTAAAGTAAACTCGTCATGAGAGAAATAAGGGGGCTTTCATTGCTAATCTTAGAGATTCTAGTTGCCTGGAAATGGTTTCTCACTTCCATCTGAACTTTCTGAGCTATTGACCTGAAACAAGCAGGTCCTCAAAGTCAGAAATCCTTATATGCACTTTCAGAGGGGAGTTTTTCATGGCAGCCTCCATGCTTCTCTTCAAAGCACTTCGTAAAATCCAAAGGCATCGGCTCTTTACTGTGAACAGTGTTGAATTGTTGGCATCAGCAGAACAGATGCCCCCTTGTGGATTTCTCTAGATTTCTCAGAGCACATCAAAGAAAGATGCACAGAGTTTAGCACATTAAAATGAGATCTGAAGCATAAAGGCCTGGATCCATTTGCAAATTTTATAATAATTGTGAAGTGCTTGATAAAAGATTCCATGTTTGTTGCAAAAAAAAAAAAAAGTTTGGTTCTAGAGCAGAAGTTCCCACTTTGGTACCCAATGTAAGCGCTGTATCCCTCTATAAATTTAATTTATTTTAGTAAATCTAGCTTGTTGGTAATTTTATACAGGTATTTAGTTACTAGTGGCATGTTGTAGACAGACCTTTTGGAGAGGGGTGGTGAGGCTCCCCATCTTGTCATTTTTCACCCCTAAAAACATGGGTGCAGGGTCTCAGTACACACTGTATTTGTTAGTACTATATCCTTGTAAGCACTGTATCCATTGCAATATTTCAAATGTCTTATCAGTTTACCATGTACTTGAATGTGCCCCAGTCAGTATTTCTAATGTGTCATATGTCACCTGGATACCAAGTTCACCCCAACCTGCAATTAATGTCTCTGAAACATGAAGCAAACTTCTAGGTGGTTTACATCTTCAGCTTTTGCCAACAAAATTGAATATCTATTATGGATGTATTGACCCTTAAAGCGGATGTGTAAATGTAATATTCTGCTTAGACCCTTAAAGCAGATGTGTAAATGTAATATTCTGCTTACATGATATCCATAAAATGTAGTAAAAAGAAGTCTAAAACATTACTTAAAGTAGAATTGAAGGCAGTTTTTAATCCCTGTCAGTTTTTTTTTTAGCCATCTGTATCCTGTTGAGATTTGCCTCATAGTCGAAACAGGGAGTGGGGGGTAATCTCTGGTAATCTAGTGTCCTCATTGGAACATTTCCCCTCCATTCCTGTTTTGAGCACTGGCATTTTCTTTCACTTTCGGCAAAGATGGTCACCAGGGCAAATAGTGAGGCTCATTCTCCAACAGGGTCACAGACTGCAATAAAAACCTGACAAGCGTTGTAACTCCTCACCAAAACCTCAAAAAAAAAAAATTTCCTGCTGTTACACTTTAAATCTTGTATTTTTGCCTGTAATTGGAAAATGTGACCAATGCCAAGGTAAGGAAATTGTCTTGAGATCTCTACCACAGGATACTGTGGTGTTGACATCAAAAGACCACTCAGACAACCACTGGCTTGGTAGTTCTACCTGAACAATTCCTAGTGTTGATCCTCCAGATCCTGTTGTTTCAGGAGCCAAACAGATGTAGGATTTCTTTTTTCTGAAAAGGCAAGGCTTTAGACTGTCATTAACTGTTAATGATATCAAGTATACTATTCTGTCACTGTGTATGCTTTAAAGCTGTCTGAACAAAGGTGATTTGATTTGGTGTCATTGATTACTTCATTTTGAACACAAACCCAATGATTGTTCCTGCTTTATAAAAATGCACCTCCTAGTAGATTTTGATTGCAAAGCTTTTTTTTTCCAAGCAATCTAATCAATTTGATACTGAAGTGACTTGAAAATGCTCAATCTCCATTTACATATGATCCAGTCCAACCCTGAAGATGCCACATTTGTTGGCTTGTTCAGAACTTGATTGTTCTAACCGAATGAGGGAATGCTGAAGTGTCGCCATATCCTCCAATGTCCGCTAATAATTCTGTGAAGCACAAACATGTGACTCTACTAAGGACATGCATTCAGGATGAGGCTTCATAAGTCTGCTTGAGTGAGGTTTTTTCATTCATATATATATTTTTTTTAATCTGAATCCTATTGAATTATGCAAAATTAAAATGACAGCATACTGTTATAATTAAAACAGAACACAACGTAGGTTCAGAACAAACTATGAGTTAAAGTATAAAGTGATTTCCACCAATGATCCACTCTCCTAGTTCTGTGATTAATACACCAAATATTTAACTTTTGACTTCCAGTGTTAGTAAGAAATATATGAATGGTATTTCATGTGATTGGTAGCCAAACTGTTCAGTGTAATACTTGAGCTACATAGGCATTCTCTTGCTGCTGAAAGATTTTATTCTAAAAATCTTCTCTTTTTGAAGAAAATGGATAACCATGTGCTGCAAATGAGCTGACTGCCAACAAGTGATTGAGTCTCTCAGTATCAGGGGATTACATTTTTTGGTGTAACCCTAGCCTAAAGCAGAGAATATTTATGGTCTTGGCAGGAAATACCTGAAGGTATTGAACGCCTAATAAAATCAGTATGCCATAATTAGAAACTAAATGTTAGCTTTTGTTGGATTGGCTAGGGCTGCTTTTACACTTTTTGGCTTGATACGTTTTTCCTTTGAAATCAATGGAAATGTATCAAAACGCATTGCACATCTATGTGCATCAGAATGTTTTAACATGAAGAGCACTCTGATGCATTTCCACTGATTTCTAAGGAAAACATGTTTGTGCAAAAGAG